ATATGTACGACCATCCTCGGTCCTTAAATTCGGCGATCGCTGACGTAACGTTAGAGCAGCAATACCGCTTTCGAGTGAAAAGTTTTCTTTCAAGTGTTTCTATTTCGAAGATATAAGGTGTAAGATGTCTCCTTTGTTTATATTCATGAAAGTATTATCATCCACACAGGGACAGGGATTTTTACTGAAAAATTAACATTTTGCACTATGATTTATTGTGAGATCGCACGTGCCACGGTGCATATGGCGTGTCTGACCGTGCTGTCATATTCCACTCAAATTTCTTATCATGTGTCTTACACGTTGTTGTAGGTTAATGGCTTGAAAAATTAATTCTGGAGACCAGGTATTATAGAAATGAAGTCTGGATAGGATTGGTGAATTTCGATCTGGTTGCAAAACTAAATGTTAACGGAAATGGTGGGTTATATAATTTCTAATTGTAGAAGAATAAATAATTGGCTTCAGAAGTACTTTCATAACATGTCTGGCACTGGAAGTGTTAACAGTGGTTCAGGGGAATTTTTGCGCTGAAATTGAGCCGAAACTGAGCCCGATTAAGCATAATCACCGCATTTATCACATTGAGCGTAGCATCTTCATAGATGAAGATGTAAAGGAGATGTCCAACTCAATTTTGAATATCTTTATGCTACCTCCTACATTGCAAGTATACCAACAGTGTCCCAATCGGTACAGTTACATAAATTAACACACTGTCTCCAAAATAAGTGACTGATATATAAAAGTGTGTCAGGCGAATACTGTGTGGGAGTCAAAAAATTAGTAGAAGGGATGTGAAGGTCAATTTTATGCTTCTACCTAGTTTTCTTATACATTGTAACTATACTAATAATGTCCCAATCGATACAGTTACGTAAATGAGCAGATTATTTCAGAAATAAGTGACCAAAATATAAAAGTGTGTCAGGCAAATACTGTATGGGATTTAAAAAATTAGTAGAAGGGATGTGAAGGTCACTTTTATGCTTCTACCTAGTCTTCTCATACATTGTAACTATACCAATAATGTCCCAATCGATACAGTTACATAAATAATAAAATTATCTCAGAAATAAGTGATCAAAATATAAAAGTGACTCGTGAATTAAAAAGAAAAAAACGGTTTTCTTTGGGTCTGTAAAAGATGGAGGCGAAGTGAAAGTTCGAGATTTAGCAACTTCGGCTTGGAAACGGTCCCGGCGCTTTCCGCGTGACGGCGATTCCGCCGCGTTCCTGACGCAACTCGACGCGCGGAACACGTCCGCGGCGAGCCACGCGGAACGGCTCGGACGTATTTAATTAAGTGCTGGAAAGTCGACGGTGGCCAACGTCTTACTTTCTTGCGAACCGGCGTGCGTAATTAACGAGCGCGCCGCGCGAAAGAAAACGGTAACGTTATTTTTAGAGTCAGTGTATCTGAATTTATGATTGCGATGCGTTTGATATTTCGCAACGAGTTCCGTGAGAACGAAACCGACGCCGCACCGCGGCTGCTGGAGGCCTTTTGAAACGCGTCGGCCGCCCCGCCGCGAAACTCAGCTGAGTACGCTCGCGGCGTCGGCGATTTTTCAACGCTTTCCGCTTCGTTTCGCCACGTACGAATCAAGTTTCTGAACTATCTCGAATCCACGAGTTTAAATCTCGATGAGCACGCCGTCAAAGCGATCGAGGATCCTTTTGGATTATAGGAGACCGGGTTTATTAGAGAAATAGAGGAGGAAGCGTGAGAGTCGACGCGTAGAAATGAAGTAAAACTGGGCCTGTTGGAATAATTTGAGGATTGAGAATGAACTTGGAATACTAGGAATATAGGAATTAGTATTTTATACCCTTTGCAATCGGATGCCAATATACATTTAATTATACATATTTAAGATTGATTATCTATATTTATTTATGAATCAAAATTATATGACACATGTACTATAATTTAATTCCAATTAATTAATAATTGTTTAAATATTTGTAATAGATAAGATTTTATGTATAGATATATAATAAATTTATTATATAATGAATATATATATATATATATATATATATATATATATATAGAAAAAATATATAGTATAAATAATTGATTATATAATATTATTTATTAATATGGATATATTAAATTATTTATAAATATCTATACATTTGTAATAGATAAGATTTTATATATAGATATATATGTAAATTTAGAGACATTGTAATCTAGCAAATTTTATTAGTGGTTGTGTAGAATAAATTTATGCTAGGGCAAATTAAAAAAAAATGCATTTTCCTTGAAGTTTTCTTATTGCAAAGGGTTAATTTATGGGGTAAAACTGGAGCTGATCGAATAATTCGAGGACTGAGAATTAATTTTGTATAATTGAGAGTTACTCCTTGTCTAACGTGGATAGGAATCAGTATTTTTAATTTAGTAGGTATTTCAGATAAGTGCCTTAAATAAAAAAAGTCAAACAATATATTGTTTGTGATTGCAAAGAAAAAGTATTTCGTCTTACTATACTCATACACTAAAATAAATTCCAAAACAAAATAGCGCGATAAATTTGAATAATTTTCCAATTAAATTTAACGTTTCGATCACAAAAACCAACACACGATAGTTTAAAATTAGTTTTAATTTTTTTAGCACGAATTTTTGTGCGCATATTCATTTTTAAGAAGAAAACAATGTCTTCATATAAAATAAATCCATATTTCTTGTCTAATGTGGATAGGAATCAGTATTTTTAATTTAGTACGTATTTCAGACAAGTGCCTTAAATAAAAAAATCAAACAATATATTGTTTGTGATTGCAAAAAAAAAGTATTTCATCTCACTATACTCATATACTAAAATAAATTCCAAAACAAAATAGCGCGATAAATTTGAATAAGTTTTCAATTAAATTTCACGATTCAACCACAAAAACGAATTTATATCTCATTTATATCATTTATATTTTTAGGAAGAAAACAATGTCTTCGTATAAAAATGAAAAATTCTCGAAACTACCAGGCAGGAAAATTCAGAATAAATCGGATAACAGGCTCCGATAAAGTGTTGGCTCGGTAAAAGTGCAAACTTCACCGTAGAAGCGGTTCTCGTAAAAGACGAGTTAACTTGCCCTGCCCGTCTGAGAAGTTAAAAGCCGTCGTGCAACATTTTTCCTGCGTATAAATATACGCACACATATGACTTGTTTGCTTCTCTTTTACCAACAAGCGGAGCTAATTTTTTCGGAGCGCGGCATCGCGGTCATAATGGATGCCTCTAATAATCCTCTTCATTTATCTTTATTAACAGTCCCTCATTTTCTTATCTCGTCAAGTTTCTAATATTATTATAGTTTCACCTTCTTCCCGTTACTTTCGATTATTCAACAATTTAATCCATCGATTCGATCTATTTTCACATAGATTAGCAAGCATGCTACTGTCCTGTTTTAACAAATAAATTAAGACACGTCCAGGACGGTGTTGCTCTATTTACCAAAAATAGAAATTTAATTCATGTATCATTTTCAGATGAACGTAAAAGTCCCTGTTGATCGTTAAATCTATTCGAGTCGCCTTACATTTTTATAACGATCGGTACATATTATTCTTTCGTCCTTCGTCGACGAATAGGGCTAATTTTTCCAACAGCCACAAATTGCACTACTCCCCTAAGGACCGCAGAGATTATTCAACCGCGAGTCACACAGATTTCCTTTTCAGTCACGAGCTGCACTAATTTTTCCGCGACCACGAACCACGGCCGTTCCTCCGTAACCATGAGCCCCAGAAACCTTTCAACAACAGCTGGTTGCACTAGATAATTCCTTCAGGCTCTCCTTTCAAGAATAAGACCTCCTACGACCAAGGGAATCGCATTAATTTTCCTCACCCTCCTACGCCGACGTTTTCCTTCGATTCAGGTCGTGTTTACTATTCGCTTCTCACGAGACGATATTATTTCCCTGGGAAATTGCTCCGCCAGCAAAACAACGCGTAAAGACAGAACGTGACTAGAAAAGTGGATGGTAAATAAAAACACTCGATGTTTGTTCCATCGCCATGTGGAAAAAATCGTATCTTTCCAAAAAAGATGTTTATTTTATGGAATGTAAAGTGATACTTGTATTTATTATCTTGCTCGTAATTTACTTTGTGGTTTCATAGGAATTGAAAAAATTGTTGCACACATAGAATTCAACGTGTATACCAACTTTATATTTTATCCAATGTAAAGTGGCATTTGTATTTATTATCTTGCTCGTAATTTACTTTGTGTTTTCGAAGGTATTTTAAAAATTTTTGCATAAATAGAATCATCATGTATACCAACTTTATATTATATCCAATGTAAAGTGGTACTTGTATTTATTACCTTGTTCGTAATTTATTCTGTGTTTTCAAAGGAATTTGAACAATTTTTGCATAAATAGAATCATCGTATATACCTGATGAAACGTTATAGAAATATTCTACTTTGTTCTAGGAACCCCAAACCATGATAGAGTAGACGAACAATTGCAACAAGTGTTATTATTTGATCTATGATGATTAAGTATCCTCTCGTGCAACGTGAAACGCAATTTCACTTTATAATCCACATTTAGCAATTTGTATCGGACGAATAACGGACGAAACATTGTTCGTCTTTAATTCCATCGTCGCGAAACATAATAGGATCTAATAATTCGCACTACAATTTATATCGAACGAGTAACGGATCCGAACGTCGCTTATCTCTGGTTCGATCACCGTGAAATCTAATTCCATTTTATAATTCACACCCCGCGACTTCTAACGATCGAATAACGGATCGAACGTTCGTCATTCGTTATCGAGAGTTCTACGTAAGAAATTAGCTCCGAGCAAGGGACATTTTCGAGGATTCTCCACCCCGATAGTTGAGTCGGGATAGTTCCTACCAGAATGGGAAGCATAACTTCGTCGTAACGCACCGATGCACCAGGCCTTTAAACCGATCAGCGAAAAAAGAGCTGCGTGCATCTGCGGCCCGACGCGCACCCACCTTGCGCACTGGTCTCCGCGGCTTCCAGAGGTACCTCAAGATCCACCAAACGTGTGCGAAGCACGCACGCGGTTCACCTGCACCGAACTCGCGACAACCATGACCGATGCCGAGCTTTCGTCGGAACTTTCACTGTCGAGAAAGGATTGCAGGGTTGAAAACGATCCCGGCGATCGATCAACGACGGGACGGAGTGGATTGAACGTCAGAGGATCGAGGCGGGACGCGTTGAATCCCATCCGTCGATCGATCGAGGCTTCGAGCGCGACGTGGAGCGCCCCCGACGGCTCCGGACGAGATCGTGCGACTAAAGCTCGCGATCCGCGAGGACGCGCCGCGAGCAGCGCACCAGCGTATATCCCCCACTTCGAGCGGTTCAAATAAACTGTATCGCGCAGACTCAGGGGGCACACGAGTCGACGAGGATCTCCTCCACCTGCCTTTTCTTTCCACTCCCTTTCTATTCGAGACTTCCGGGGGGTCTTCTTTTCCCGCGCACGCTTCCGGTTCCGCGCCGGGATTTCCCGCTGCGCCCTCTTCCACGCTCCTACCGCGATTTTCCTTGCGAGAAGGCCGATGCCTCAGTTTTAAATCGTTCACTGCCACCCTGATTCACACGGGTACGTCTGCAGGGCTCAAGTTTTATCTCGAGGCAATTAAAAAGTATAGGATCTAGCATTTTTCATGTTGTTTATTCGTTTGGATTTGAAACCATTTTGTTACGGAATGGCCAAACAGGATTCATGTCCTGTTATATAATAGAAGTTATAAAGCATGTAATTTAGTTTAATGATACTTGAGATTGTATGAATCTTTAGGCATCGGGGAACACATTTACAGTTAGTGTAATAAGTAGACTGGGGAAAAATAAAATCTTTGCAAAAATGTCTGCGAACTTAATCTACCTATTGAAACTAAATAGGAATTTATTTTATTCTGCAAATTGTATAACATGAACTTTACTTTCAATCTTTTTTATATTCTTGCATATTATTTGCATCTTGTAGGTTATTGCAAATTCAAATTTCTTTATGCAAAATATAATCTTTGCAAAAATATCTACGAACCTAACCTATTTATTGAATCTAAATAGGAATTTATTTTATTCTGCAAATATTATAACAGGAACTTTACTTTCAATCTTTTTTATATTCTTACATATTGTTTACATTTCGTAGGTTATTGCAAATTCAAATTTCCTATAAATGCATAAAGATCCACAGTCTAGTAATATTCGCAGGTTCTAGTACTATTCGTACAGGAACCAATTCAAAATAAAACTCCATATATTTATTCTATTAATAAATTCTAGGGGGAAAAATGAATAACCAACATTTCTACATATTTTTAGAGCTAATTTTGCGTAAATACAAATTCATTTTAATGTTAACCTTTTCTCTCTTTTCTTATTAGTTTTTATTTTAAATTGGTACAAATACTTTTGTATTTGTGTAATTGGTGAAATACTATTTGTAGGTTATATGGACGTGATTAAAGAATTTATTTTGAATTTAACAAGTAAAGATTTGTAGTTTATTTAATTAACAACTTAATGCAGTTGAATTGCAATCGGAACTTACACACTGATTGCGTAAGATTGGGAATAAATTGAGAAACTAGCATACAAGGTATATAATTTTCTTTTAGCGTCTATGAAATGAAGTCTATTTTCTACTAATTATCTATTTCTACTAATTATCTATAATGTGACACGAAACCACATTTTACATTAATTTACTTCGGTCCCTAATCAATCACTCTACGAGTCATTAGTTGCATAAAATAGTCGATTACCTACTACGCTGTCATTCTTGCATTTTCTACCATTTCTGTACTTCTGTTTAGCATGAATTTATCATGAATTTACCATGTATTTTTCTTTCACAGTTATCCTTCCTCGTATAACTAGATACTACCCCCTTTATCATCGGATTGATGTCGAATATCTCAGTTTAATAGGAACGTTTGCGGTCTAATTAACAACAGAATATTATATAACCTATCCCCGCAATTAACATAGGTTACTACATCGTAATTTAGGATTTCACGATGAAACCGAGAGAGCTTTCGACGTGTTTGAATCGCTCGCATGAATACCTCGAGATTGAAGCAACGGGGCCATAATCTGAATACGTTTCACTTGATAGCGTAATTGCAGTGGCGTTGTGCGGTATTTGATTAATCTCATCACGTAACGTTACGTTTTTCCAACAGCAGGAATTCATATTTACATTCCATCCAATCTACGAGACAGGATTAATAATTTTACTTTCCGCGCGAGGCCGCGATGGAAAATTTTATCGATGGGCTTTCCACGTGATTACCGAACCCAATTAGACGCAGGTTAACTACGGTTTCGTTCCATTAACGATAAATCGCGTTTAATTAAACGGATCCCGCCAGCAAACGTTCCGATCGGACTTGATTAGCGTCAGAGCGGGTGGAAAATCCGATTGAATTTTAGGAAGTAGTTTTGATCACCTGTAAGTCATCTTAACCCTTTATTTACTGAATTTCTCGAAAGTTTTTTAAATTTCGTCCATCTTGATCTTATTTCATTTTATAGAGTTGTCTCTAACAAGCATCCAAAATTAAAAAAGTTTGTGCCGTTCAAAAATTAAAAAACGAACTTCATAGAAGTGGACTCAAACTTTGTACTTTTATGTATTTAATTTTGAACGGTGAATTCAATGGTGTAAACAAAAAAATATTGGAACAATTGTTTTTGCATTTTTGAAAGAAAATTATTTGAGAAAAGTCGGATCGAAAAATCTAGAAAAATTGTTTAAACATTATTTTTGCGTGTTCACTTTTACTGTTTGGAGATTGACCTGTTTTTTGGAGCCTGCTCCAAAATGTACAAACGCCTCAAGAAATTTCTAACTAAAGCATCGGCGTTGCACGACGCATCCGTTGTCTTGTACTTGAACAGTTACCCTAATCGAACCTCGTAATTACGGATATCGATTTAGAATACATCTCTATCTGGCTCATGCATCGCAACAGATGCTGCTCGAACATATGGCGTGCCACTTTCCACAAATCCCGATGAACCGCTATGCAGCGCGTCCAACGACGCCATCGACTTCCAACGTGAATTGTAATGTCTGTTTGCTCCCAGGTGTCGACTACGACCTTCATTCTGTCTATATGAACAATTAACGAGAGTTTGCCGATGAGTGTACAACACCTTGACCTCCAATACATCGACCGTTCCCGTCCTTTGCGAAACTCGCTGCGTGTTCATCCGAGAGGACATTCCTTATATCTTCCATACAGGTTAATTTAATTTATTTAAAATTTGCAAGGATATTGTGTAGGGTATGTACTTTCAATAGACGTGTGTTATTTATTTATTTCAGACTAGCTGCGCCCCGCGAATACTATTCCTATTTTATGTAAACCCTTTGCACCTCTTTCAGGGGTTGAATTTTTTTAAATGCTTTTTTTGAAATGTTTGATTAATTATGTTAAAGAGCATTAGGACCAAATTTGAAGCCATTCTGATAACAAATTAAAATATTCCTCATACTAGCGTTGCAACCCCTTTTCACCCCCTGAGGGATTAAATTTCGAAATATGCTTTTATATTAATAAACCTCTGCCGCAAAATTTTAGCTTTCTAGGTTCAAGGGTTTAATCTGGGCGTTGATGAGTCAATGAATCAGGGCTTTTATTTTTATGTATATAGATAATGAGGCTTGCCTGTAAAAGTGTCTCACTCTACACAATATCCTTGCAGACTAGAAAGAGAAAAAAAATCAAACCCTATCTGTCTTTGTGGTTTTATTAATGTAAATGTAAAATATATACGTAATTATTAAAAGCATAAACGATAGCCGTTTATCATAAACATAAAGATTATATAAAAATGCGCTGGTAAACAAAAACAGGTTGAGTATCACGGTTTTGTTTCTCTTTTTAGTTGTTCTACAGCGCCATCTATAATACCTCTGTGACAAGTACCTATAAAAAATATCCCGAAAGATTGTGGTGCCATCTAAAATCTAAAATTCCTGAAGGTAGACAGAAATAAGTAGTGTACTCCGGTTTTGTTTCTCTTTTTAACTGTGGTACAGCCAGACCCCTGACTCACCTACGCCATCTATAATAATTCTGTGACCAGTATCCACACAAAAAATCCCTAGCAATGGTGGTGCCATCTAAAATTTAAAATTCCTGAAGGTAGACAGAAACAAGTAGAGTACCCCAATTTTGTTCCTCTTATTAACTGTGGTACAGCCAAAGCTCTGACTCACCTACGCCATCTATAATAATTCCGTGACCTATATTCCCACGAAAAATCCCTAGCGATAGTGGTGCCATCTGAGACCTAAAATTCCTGAAGAAGCTACATTCGTTTCGTCACCGATAGGGTAATGGCGGCCATCCACGATAGGTTAATCACAGTAGCGAATACCGTTAGCAGATTATTGTGCATTAATATTCATGATGTCAGCGATACGTTGGGTGAGTATTGCGATACAAGGTTCTCTTGTAATCTATTCATTGGAGGTGTTCGTTTCTTGGAAAAACGAGCAACTCCGTATCGGCATGCGGCCAATAATGCAATGCAATTGGCCGTTGCGCAACGCGGTACGGCCGCGATACGGTTTCTACGGTGTATTAGCTCTGATCGATGCGAAATCCCGACCCAACAATCGCCGTTTGGCTCTAGAATTTGAAATCTGGAGTAGCCGCTAGACCGGCGACTTATATTTTTGCCACTCCCTGTAATAAACGAGGACTGGTACCCGACACCAACGTGTTTAATAACGCGGTACCGATTTTAAATTTCAGCTCTTTCGATTGTTCGCGAAGGGGTATGAGGTACAGTGGCGGATAATAATCTCGACATATTTGCATAGGCGATCGGAGGATAGATGTTGTAAATTAAAGCTGTTGGGTAAATAAAAATGTGTCTTATTGTATGCATATCGAGGGACTAGGAAGCACACGAAGTATTTGTTTATTTATTGAAAGCTGGAGGTATCTGGTTAACCTGGGTGTTGGGTATTGTGCAGAGATAAGACGCTTGTTAGCAATTCTCCTTCGTTACAGGCAAATCATGGATTTAATATAGACTCCATAGCTGATTGCTTACCATATGGTGTCTAGCGAACAAGGATCTTGTCGTTAACCCGAACTGGGAGATCAACAAATCAAAGAAACTATCTAGGCTCGAAGCCTGACCCAAAGATCCAGTAGGCCAGCCTTTCATCTTCTCATAAAAGGATTCAGGAACATGTTTCTGAAATGTATGTTTCTATCTAGGAGATCCCATTGCCATCTTAAATCTAGAACATATGTGTCGTATCCACGA